CTGGGCCTTCTATGGGGCTTTGGCAGCTCCTGAGCATGGGTAATGGGCCTCAAAAGGTCCTGTGAGTATTTCTGAGTCTGATGTGCACTGGGATTTGTTTTGGGCCACGATACAGAGCAGAATCCCTGCTGAAGCCTTGATCCCTAAGGGACTGTGGAATTGTGATAGAGCTCTGTAGGAGTGTGGGACTGGAGCTGTAGTAGAGCAGGCTGTGAAAAAGGAAGGTTGCCACAGGGAGGACCCAGTGGAAGTCATGGAGGAGGCTGGTGCTTCCCCACAACTGCCTGTAGATGTTGGGGGTCCAGTGACAGGTCAGACAAAAAGAGACAAACCTGATGTCTTGTACATCAACAACCTGTACAGGCCCACACAGCTGTGGAATGTTTAGGTCTTGGGTAGACTATTTGGGACTGTGAGGGAAGTTGTGGTGTGATGAGATCCTGCCTGGCAAGCAGAAAAGTGACACCTCCCTGGAATTTCTCACCCCCCCTCAAAAATCTGCATGTGACTGAATACAGAAAAACTTACCATAAATGTGTCTGAACACCAGAATGGGTTTCTTGGAGAGGTTGGAGAGTCTCTATCCCTTGAGATACTCAAAATGTGCCACTCAAATGGTGGGAGTTTGGATGTGGCTTCTAGTGGAAACAGCAAGGTTTATAAAGCAGAACATCATCTTCAAGTGACAGTGCTCCTGTGTGTTCACACGGAGTGGGTACTTGGGGCCAGGACTGAAGTTTTTAACCTTTGTTACATGTTGGGAATCTGTGGCTGCAGAGTCCCTGCTGTGTCTGGGGCAGTGTGATCTCCTCAGCTCCCTCCCAACCCCACTGATCTGTGCTGATTGTTTTGGCTTTACTGTCCCATGTCTGCAGGACGCTGTGGCTGCCCAACTGTCCATTGCCCTGCTGCGCCACACGGATCTCCTCCCTGCAGATAAGGCCTTCTATGAAGCTGGAATGGCTGCCAAGGTGAGAGCCACCTGCTGCTGGAGCAGCTGAGGAGGTGGATGGCCCTGGGCTCTGGGATTCTCAGCCTTCCCTTCCCCAGCAGCCCTGGCACACCAGCAGCCAGCCCCTGGCACCAGAGGCCTCTCTGCAGGCAGCTGGGCAGGCCCTGCATGTGTCAGGGAGTGGCAGTGGGCAGTGGGAGAGCAGAGCTGGGCTAGAAAGGGGACAAGGACTTTGGACCAAGGTGGTAGAGCAGAGGCTGCATGTGCTGCAGGGCTCTGTCCATGCGGATGCCAGAGTCCTGACTGCTCTGCCAGGCCACCTTGGTGTCACCTCACACCTGAGGCTACAGGCTCTGACTGCCAGCCCAGATGAAGTGACACATGGCAAGCACTGCAAGCATGTTCTCACTGTCTGATGCTGGCTGTGCAGTAATGCCTGACTCCATCCATGGGGACAGCCTGTGGCTAGTGGGCTGGTTGTCCCAGTGGTTGCCTAAATAGCAGTCCTTTGGGATTGGCAAGCCAGGATGTCCACTATCCTACTCCATGGCCAACAGTACCACACCCTTCATAGCCACCACTCAGGCAGGAGAGTTGTAGCTGTAAAGATAAGCTGCCTGGTCTCACCTGGGGTTTCTTCTGTACCAGGCAGTCAACTGGGAGAACATGGCATTCATCTTCCTGAACC